GGAAAAATTATAGTAATTATAGAAAAAAGAATAGCCTTAATCAAATATTTTTCATATTATCTATGATATGTCTATGATAAGTGACTTGACTTTGGCAAATTTTACCCTTTGATATTTAATGGCCGACTGCAATTTATCTTTGTGAGTTTTTACATATTAAAATAAATTACATATAATAATTTACACATTTTTCATTTTAATATGATTGCCTCGCCCTAAGTTTTGCCCATGGCCCTTCGAGCTGGATTTGAACCAGCGACCTATAGATATACAGTCCAATACTTGTTTAGTTTCTCGTAGGACTTCATTAGTATATGTACTTTGTATGCTGCCAAGAGATTTCAAACATTTTATTTTGTTAAAATCCAATGTTTATTTGTGCAGTTAATTTGTGAAACTCAGTTAAATGTTCTTTAAGGAGAAATAAACAATTTGTTAGTGTTATGGTTAACACATTACATTGTCTATCAGAATACTGTTATAAGGTTTTAAATGAGTTTTAATTAAGTTTAAACTTTCATTTATTTACTCCTGTAACTCTTAACCATAAATCAGCGATGAAATATAGTAGAAATTTGCTACTTAAATTTAATTGAATGTTGTAGAGATTTTCTACTAAAATTTAAATTTAATTGCATATTAAAAATTAAAGAGATCATTAGTTTGTTTTGTTTTGTATTATTTACTTCATAAGAGACATGCTATTGTTATTGTATTCTATAAAACAAATTTAATTATAAGCCCTACTAACTTCATCATTATTAAAAATTATTAATTTCAATTCTTCTTGTACAACATTTGTAATGTGAATGACAAAGCAAACATAATGTAAGTAGCTATGATTCATAAATCTAGACTTCTGATATTATACTATGAACACTTAAATTAACAGGGTAAATGCTTATATAAATTACCACTTAAGTAACTATTTTATTTTATATTTACTATATAATATTTATGTTAACCAAACATGGCTGCTTCCATATTAGTTCTGTTTGTTTTAGTCCAGTCACTGTAGCATAAAAAAGTGGTCCTCGGAATAGGAGATAATAATCAGAATTTTCGTATATATCTTCATTTTGTCATTATGAAAGTGCGTGTTTATTTAAGACCGTGTTAGTGAAAAAATCACTGTAAAATTGAGAAATTTGTAGTCACAATACTTAAGGGTATGATTTAAGGTGTTGATTTTTCTCATTTTAATAAATGTGTCAGCTATAACTGGACTAACTGGATTTATTTTTTATTTATCGCTGGGCTTATGTGAGACCTCTGTCGCCCCGTGCCGGTCGGAATTTGAGTTTTGGGACACGTTGTTTAAGACATCGTAGTTGTAAGAAACATGATTATTGATCATAAACATAATATTAGTACATAAACACAGATTAAGTCATAGAATATTTAATCTTTATAAACAAATGCATTTACAATCTTAGAATTATAGTAATTAGGTCTTATCTTTAGTATTGAAATCCTTTAGGTCATCTTACTAGTCGTCCAGCTCTAGATTGGTAACCTTCAGGGTTATTAACAAAAAACTCGTACTATCTTTACAACCAGCTTGCCGAATGAATATGTAGTATTCACGAAATGCATTTTCAGAAAGAGAAAGTTTTCCGTCACAGGTTATATCATATTTTAAATCATCATCAATGTAATTTGTTTCAGGTAACTGAGTTAAAAAATCTGTATTATCTCTATTTAAACAAACAGTACTAGTAACTTAATTTTCCCAATAAACTGAGAACTTTTTCTGTACCTTTTCCCATTAATATCAATTATATAATAAACTATTTTTTTACAATATAGCCTCGATCCCATAATTTAGTAAATTTATCTCGGACCAGCATGATTTTTTATTTATATTAACTTTTTGTAGAAGATCGTCATTGCGAATTAATAACTTTGTTCTTAGGTTTCTACACATTAATAGCTAAGCTTCTAAAGTTTAAAAGGTATGAAATCTAATCAATAAAAATCAAATCCAATATAAAAAGTTATAAATTAAAGACTAATCTGACATTTATTCAACATGGGTTTGGCAATACCAACATAATTTTCTGTGATACCATTACTCTGATGATAATGAAGGTTTATTGTTTTAATTTCCGTGGCCCATTGTTTATCAAAGTGTCGAGATTCTAAAGAACCAAATGAGTTATTGTTATCAATGATGGTCCTCCTTATCTAGCAACAATTGGCTTAAGTAATGATTTCTTATATTTACGCGAACACTACATATTGAAATAATACTAGTTTTCATGGATTTCATCGCGTATATTTAACTATAAATACCCGACGTTTCGAGCGCTTTACAGCGCCCATGGTCACGGGGGGGGGGGGGACTGAGACGTTCAACGTCCAGATTTCATAGTCAAATTACAATCTGATGTTTTTTCTTCTTCACATTATGTGAAGAAAAATCAACCTTCCGGGAAGTCTGCAGTACTGTGAACACGTACAGGATAGCCCCCGTCACTATATCAGATTTGATAGACCACAAATGCTCGCTAAAGAACACCGATTCCTTCCAAGGATGATTCGCGAGGCTATTGAAATCAAAAAACATCCTAATTTCAATAGAGAAGATGGCCGAGTGCTACCATCTGCTTGGGATCCTATAATAAATAAAATTAAATCCCAAACCAAGCATACCACTGCAAGACTTCAAGATACCATAAGTTCATACTGTGTAGATCGGAAAAAAAGTTAAATTTTAATCTATGGTAACCGCTGTTAACTATGACATCTGGACGTTGAACATCTCAGTCCGTCCCCCCCGTATTGACCATGGGTGCTGTAAAGTGCTCGAAACGTCGGGTATTTATAGTTAAATATACGCGATAAAATCCATAAAAACTAGTATTATTTCAATGGCTTAAGTAACATTATAATGGTGGAACTAGGGTTATCTTATTATAGGATTGACTTCAATTCATCTGAAGTAGTAATAAAAAAGGAATTGAAAATTGTATCAATTTTTAAAATTCATTTTCTAATCAGCCACAATAGTAAGACAAAAGCAGTGTACTATATTGTAGTACATGGGACAGCGAATGAGCGAGAACATGTTGCATTTGATAATTTTATATTAAAGAAAAAATTTTTAAAGGCGTTCTGACATTTTTGGATTTCCTTTTACCAAGAAAGTAATATTTTATTATTATCTCTTTAATTTTAAAACTCTACTTTGTTAGCGGAGCTACGACAATTCTCTTTTCCGTTTTTAAAGGAGAAATCCAGTTTTTGGCCCATCGTTACATGAATCGAATATAAACCAAAAACATCATATATTTTACTTGATTATTCCATATATGGGAAGATTTAAAAACCACTCTTACTGGCAATGGCCAAGTGCAATAAATATCTGATTTTTTTTAAATAAGAATATTAACAATGCTATAAACATTACTAATATTCCCCTTAACCACTTGTAGTAAGCTTAAATTGCTTGTGTTACGAGTGGTTCACGCCAGTAAACGAATGGCGGGTTTGAACCCACGACCTTTTAGAGTTCGCGGTCCGCGCCCTGCCATTAGGCTACTGTCGCATTTTAGTTGTCTTATACTGATCAGGCTCTGTAAACGATTAAAACACTAATTTATTATATACATACGTTTTTACAAACACTTTCAATATGTTAATAGAGCAGTAACTCTTCTGTAAGGGGCGCCTTAAACGATTTCATAACGCTGAAAGTAGTTTCGAATTAATGTGAGCACGCTAACGTTAGTCTTCCGATAGTATGACGTCATGGATAATGTCACTTCTCATATCTTAGATTACGAACGCTCAGGGTGACCCACCGTCCCAATTAAATTACTGTGGGCCAAATGTCAAAGTCAAATTGATATTAAACAATACATTTAAATACGTTCTGTTTGGAATAATTGTGGTATTTGGGCAAACAAAGTATCATTAATTGATGATATTATTGTAGCCTGTGATTTGATGGTCAGGCTGTCAATCCTACACGATGTTAGCGTAAATGTGTTTTATCCTCCACAAAATCCATGACCACGAATTGAAGTCACAGGGTAATAATTTGTGTACCGAAATCGTCAGCGCAATGACTTTAGTTAACAAAATCGCGGTTTCAATTTTGGAACAGGGTGTTGTCATTAGTGCGCTGAAAGTGGTAATTGCTTGTCTCAGAACCCAGTCAAAGTATGATCGATTTTTATATTGTACGGGATTTGTATAATATACAATAGTATTTTGTACAGGAAAATACGTATAATTTTTTTTATTAAAGTTAACATTAAAAAATTAAAACAAATAGTTGTTTAGGTAGATAAAAATAAATAATCGATTAAATGAATTGTATAAACAGGGTGAATCTCAACTTTCGACACTTAAAACGAATAGATAGTATCAATGGGCTCGATTCTAGGCCCATTCATGTTCTTCTATATTAATGACTTACCTTACCTTATAGGGGATAATTATAATATGGTATTATTTGCTAATGATACCTCTATAATTTTTAAACTCAAACGGCAGTCAATTAATTTTGACAATGTAAATAATGATCTATCGAAATTAGTACATTGGTTCAACACCAACAATTTGCTCTTAAACGGCAATAAGTTAAAATGTGTTAAATTTGCAATACCTAATATTAAACATCTGAATGCCAATGTGCTCTTAAATGGGGAGGAGTTGAGTATTGTGGATACCGCTGTTTTTCTGGTAATTAATTAATTATTTACCAAAAAAAAAGTGGTTATTTTTGGTAATACTATTGAAGCGAAGCTAACCTAACCGTGACGGGCATCATAGAACAACTGCATCACGTTAATTTCAGAACTTGTAATCTATATATTGATATAATTTTTATTTAAAGTAGGATTTTGTTGCGGCCCAGTTTTATAAACCACCTTTAAAAACTAAAAAATTAAATAAAATAAATTGAAATTATAGCAGCAACAGTAGTAGCCTCAGCCAAGAGAGTATTGTTATCTATCCAGACGGATTTTTAACAAACGTTCTATATTCTTTTATGTTATGATATCATTATCGAAACCGTTATTTTCTTCTCCTTTAATAGTTATTTCTCTTTTTAGTCTTTCTTGTAGTTCTGTGTTTTTGTCTACTTGTTCTATGGTATCCATCAGTGGCAAGTTTTTTGTCTCAGGTGTCAAAGTCAGGAGAGCTCCAGAGATAAATGCTAAACCACCGAAAAACATCGATGGAAGGACGACGGAGACTGTGTTCTGAAATAAATAAATAATGGTATGTGAATGCTGTGCCCTATAAGCGTATTCATGTTTCTTCTATTAGTAATAAAACGTCGATATATTGTAACTCCTGAAAACTAAGGTGGAATGCCCCTTTAATAATAAAAATCACTTATTTTAGTGCTGCTGTCTTTTGAATGGTTTTTTGTGTTTTTTTGCGTGGTCCCGTTTCAAGCTGAGTGTTTTAGAAATTGACAATATAATGATAAGCTCTAACAGCTAACTAACCCGTTTCTGTTATATGTATGTTACTAAATTAATCTTTAAGTTATCATCATACATAGAAAGAAAGAAATGAAGAAAACACGTTTATACTAGGTAAAGCATGCATCACAGAATACAATCAAGTCTGGCAACTTTACCAATGGAAGCAACTTTGCCATCAGGTGTACAAAATTACAATTAAATCGGAAAACATAACGTTTTTCTAGATATGCCACTTTTTGGATGAAAATTCAATATATAATTGACAGCATTGTTTCGATATCGCAACATGAGAGTTAATTTTGTCATTTTATTTGATTGCAGAATTGTGCCGGCGTAGTAACTTTGTTCAGTGCTCCGGAACTTTTGTTGATTTTGTATAAAATACTGAATGTAGGTGTCTATATCCTCGTACTAACGTAATATTAATGTAAACAGTGTAGTGGCGGTTAAGAATATCCACTAATTCATATCTTCACGTGGGTGTCGTAAAAGGCGACAGACGGAAACAGGCAGGAGATGGGCAGCAGCATCTTCCTGATAGCAGCAACTGTATTAAAAAAAACTGCGTTTGCGAACCCGTTCGCCAAGCGTGGCAACTATGGCAATATACCCCCCCCCCATGATGAGAGTTCGAAGAAACGGGCCCCACACCCCGGTAGCCCCGCGTATTACTGGCTGCGGTATCGACCGTGGTAACGGCGGGGCAGGGGATGCTAAGAATTTTCGGTGGAGGTTCAATTGCCACCTACGACGGTTCGACCTGGCAACATAGAACGCAAGCACCCCGAGAACTGACGAGAATATCCTGGAACTGGATAAAGAGATAGACAAGTTGCGCTGGAATATTACAGGATTATCTGAAGTCTGAAGAGAGGGTGAGGACACGGTGAGTCTCGAATCCGGCCACTTGTTCATATTAATCCTCTTGCTCCGGACTGACCATCTGTCCCAAGGAGGTGTTGAATTTATCGTCCACAAGTCACTCGTTAACAACATTGTAAAGATTGGGAGTGTGTCGACGAGGGTTGCGTACCATATACTCAGAATCACGATACAGTATTCGCTGAAGGTCATACAGGTTTACGCACCAACGTCAGAACATCCCGATGAGGAGGTGGAGGAAATATATGAGGATATTTCTAGAGCCATGCATTCCTTCAAGCGGCCCCACAGAAAGTGGACCTGGTCAAGCCCCGGCGGTTCGACAAAAAATGAGATTGACTTCATTATGAAGATCAAACGCCAACTGTTCAATGATGTCTCAGTGGTCGCAAGGGTGAAAACTGGCAGCAATCACCGAATGGTTAGAAGCACACTAAACCTAAACGTTGAGTTCTTGTTTGCCACAAAACTCTCCAATCACACTCTTAATCTTATGGCTGTTAGACGGGAGATGAGGCTGAAATCATCAGCAGATTTGACAGCATACAGGCAACTGAACAGAGAGGCCCTCATGAAGTGGTTGATAGAAATGCAAAAACATTTAAAATTAGAGTAAAGGGCAAAGTCGTACAGTATCGGTAGACCGACTGAAACCAGCCTACATACTGTCCAACTCCAATGACCCCACTCCAACTCCTTCTCCATCACTTAAACCAACTCCTGATCCTGCACCTTCTCCACTTCCGCCGAACAGCGTGCGCCACATCACTCCCCTCGCAGAGACTTCCGTATCGCCCGTAGACGCGGTCTCTGGAGGGGAGTGATGTGGCGACTCACACATTTATTTATTTAATCTTATTTAAATAAATAATTATTTAACAGATATATATATATATATATATATATATATATATATATATCATCTGTCGAAACATGTGCTGCTTGCGCTTACGCCGATCCTTAGCCTTGCAATTAACGTAAATTGTTAAGTGATAACTTATAGTTCTATTGCTTGTAATTCTATACTATACTTGGTGTCAAATATAAAACTCTTAAGCGGTGACTTAGTCGTTTATTCCGGCAACGGACTTTACCAGCAAGTAACAAACCTACTTACACCACAATTACATCTACACTCCATATGCATTTTTTTTTCTTTTTTTTTTTTTGGGGTTGGAAAATCATCTAATGCCCCCTTTCGGTCTGGGTGGAGCGTAAGGGGGGGTCAGAGTTTTACTGGCTAAAAACCATCCGTGTTCCTTCAGTGCCCTTACGTTCCGGAGCTGCGGTATCTCCTTCGAACAGCCCGCAGCCCCGGCAGGCGTCGGCCCTTGTGGGCCCCTTCACGCTGCTGACAGTTCTTTGAGGCGCGCGTGGAACAAAACGCGCCGTCGACACGGCCTGTCGTCATTAGACGGACGGACGACGAGCTACCCATTGCTCGCCGTCCACAGGCCCGCGCCTACGGTGGCCGGGGGCCACGACGTAGCCCCCGACGCCCGGGGGCGTCTCCCGCGGTGGCCGGGGAGGAAAGCTGCTGCTCTCACCTTCTCCCGCTCCGCCACCTCCTTCGCTAGCATCACTGCTTCGCACAAGGTGGTGACGGCATCCCATTCCGTCTCGCTCCGGACCATGGCTTCGACCAGGGCCGGACGCGAGAGGTCGCCGCCGCCTATCGCCGCTACGAGGACACGGCGGTGCTCCGCCCAAGCAGGGCACACCTCCACGGTGTGTTCCACCGTGTCCTCCGGTCCATCCTCGCAGTGGGAGCACCCGGGCGTTTCCTCCCGCCCGATTCGGTGCAGGAACCTCCCAAACACACCGTGTCCGGTGAGGACCTGCGTCAGGCGGAAGGTGAGGATGCCGTGGCGTCTCTCAAGCCACTCCTCAAAGAGGGGTCTTATCGCCGCTATAGTAGCGTGCCCAGCACGGGGTTGCGACAGTCGCTGTCTCCATGTCGCCATGAGATCGTGCCGGAAGTCTGTCCGCTGCGCGACAACTTGCCGCGGCAGCGGGGTTTCCCCACGGCACTGTGCCTCCGCACGCCATTCGTGCAGGCGCGCGAGGACTATCGCCTCCAGATCCCATGGCGGCAGTCCGGCAAGGAGGCAATCCGGTAGCCGCGAACCATTTTCACGGCTATCACCCTTTGAGGCGCGTTCAGGTGGTGGACGGCAAGCCGCGCCAAACCACGCGCCCACACCAGGGCCCCGTAAAGGGCCATGGACCGCACGATCCCCGCGTAGAGCCTCCGGCAGGAGGCGTTTGCCCCCCCCAGGTTCGGCAGGAGCCGCCTGAAGGCAGCCCCGGTCCGTTCCAGTTTGGGAGCCAAACGTCGGAAGTGCTCAACGAAGTTCCATTGGCCGTCGAGGACGAGTCCTAGGTACTTCAGCGTCGACTCGACGCCGATGGATACCCCTCCTACCATCACTGAGGATCCCGGTGGTGGCCTGTTCCGAGGACCATGGAAGTGCATGGCCTCGGACTTGTGCAGAGCCACCTCGAGACCCAGTTGCCGAATCCTCTCAACGACTATCGCAACCCCGCGTGTCATATTTTCCGCCGCCGCCTCGTACGACCCCCCTTGTGCCAGTACCAGCGTGTCGTCAGCGTAGTTTGCTACGCTGACGACCGGTAGGGAGGTCGGCGCGCAGCACCCAGTCGTAACCGATGTTCCACAGAGGTGGCCCCAGAACCGAACCCTGTGGGACACCGCACGACATCTCTCGCCGGTTCCACTCACCGTTGCGACCGGGGTAGATGACGGCCCTGTCCGTCAGGTAGTCCCCGACTATACGACGGATATAGGTCGGCACCCGGTGATACCGGAGTGCCTCCCTAATGCAGCTCCAGGGCATGGAGTTGAAGGCGTTGGCGATGTCGAGAGACACCGCCAAGACAACCCCCCTCTGGCCACTGCATCCCCCGTCGTGAGGGCTCTCACGCGCATGATGGCGTCCACCGTAGAGCGCCTCTTGCGGAAACCAAACTGGTGTTCCGCAAGATCCGGCCCCGTCCCCGCAAGGTGCTCGGCGAGGCGGTTTTGCAATGACTCTTTCAAAGAGCTTGCCCACCTCGTCGAGCAGCACCACGGGCCGGTATGCGGACGGAGAGTCCGCAGGGCGCCCCGGCTTCCGAATGAGGACCAGCTTCCCCGTCTTCCAACGAAGCGAGAATTGGCCTCTCTCCAAGCATGCGCTTAGGAGCCCCTCCAGACACTCCATATGCATGCGGCGAGACTTACGTAACTTTAATACTGCTTGTATTGAAGAAGCGATTGATCGGAACGAGGGCTCCATAGTCTTTGCCAGAGATCTGTCTGCCAGATAGAGTCTGTCAAGGCTGAAGACTGAGTGTGGCAGCATCGTTTATGGGACACCTGAGATTTTGAGTGAGATGGAGCGGTCCTATGGGCAGCTGTACACATCATCGTTGGAGCCACACGCAAGTGTGAGTAGCGATCTAAGAGCAAGTCTTATCCGACACTATTCAGATGATATCCCAGACGTCAGTCTGAGCGAGATTTGAATGGCTCTTCAGCGCCTTGAAAACGGTAGAGCCCCAGGTGATGATGAAATTAAAGCGGAGCTTCTGAAAGAGGGTGGAACACCGGTGTTCCACACTCCGGAGGCGTGGAGCGGAAGTGCGGTGGTCTTGTTCTTCAAGAAAGACGACAACACTGTGCTGTTTTCGAGAGTCATTACAAATCGTCTCTCACGCAGACTCGACGACTTCCAGCCTCACGAACAAGCCGGTTTTCGAAAAGGCTTCAGTACCAAAGACCACCTACGTACTATACGGCACATTGTACAGAAGATTGAAGAGTACAATCTGCCACTTTGCCTGGCGTATGTGGACTATGAGAAAGCCTTTGATTCCGTCGAAATTTGGGCGGTGCTACAGTCCTTTCAGCGGTGCCAAGTTGACTGTCGGTATATCGAGGTGCTGAAGTGTTTGTACAGTAGGGCTACAATGGCTATCCGAGTACAGAACGAGAGTTCGAAACCTATCTAACTGCAGAGAGGTGTTAGACTGGGTGACATTATATCCCCGAAACTCTTCACCGCTGCATTGGAAGAGGTTTCCAAGCTACTGGATTGCAAAAAAACGGTATTAATATCAATGGCGAGTACATCACTCACCTTCAATTTGCCGACGATATAGTCCTTATGGCAGAATTTCTGAAGGACCTAAGCACTATGCTCAATGACCTGATGGGGTCTCCCAACGGATATGTCTTAAGATGAACATGGACAAAACAAAGATCACGTTTAATGTTCATGTCATACCTATGCTGGTAGTTGTTGGGAGCACTATGCTCGAAGTTGTTGACGAATGCGTTTACCTGGGATAAATAGACCGACTAGATAAGTCCAACTTTGACCGAGAGGTCAATCGACGGGTTCAACTCGGCTGGGCAGCGTTCGGGAAATTACGACACATCTTCTCGTCAGGTATAACTCAAACTCTGAAGACCAGATTGTACAACCAGTGCGTGTTGCCAGTGATGAACTATGGAACTGACATGTGGTCCTTCACTGCTAGCCGTATAAGGACTCTCAAGGTTGCTCAGCGAGCTATGGAGAGGGCTATGCTCGGGGTTTCTCTGCGTGATAAACTCAAAAATTAGGATATCCGCAGTAGAACCGGAGTGACCGACATAGACCTAGATGAAGTGGCAATTGGCCAGCCATATAGCTCGTAGGATCGATAACCAATGGGGAAAAAAGTTTCTCGAGTGGTAGCCTGGTACCGGTAGGCGTAGTGTAGGGCGACCACTAGACACCACTAGATGGAGTGACGACCTGGTAAGACATGCAAGAAGTCGATGGATGCAGGTGGCTTAGAACCGTGCTTTGTGGCATTACTTGGGGGAGGCCTATGATTAGCAGTGGACTTGTGAAATGCTGTAATGATGATGATGATGATGATGTAATGCTAATGGTTAGGGAATGAAATATATTGTTTTTTAAATATAAAAATGACTTGGCAAAGTTACAATACTAGTAATGCCACGACGTGACCGTTACTTTGTCATGTTTTGCTGTAACTAAGGGTTATCACTTTAACGTTTATTTTAACCGATTACGACGATTTAAAGAATTATATTTGTATGTATGTTTCTATCGATATTTTTTCGCAGCAGCAGATAAGACCGATTTTACCGAACTCTTCAATTACTTCATCTTTTCAATTAATTCATCTTTATCAAAAGTAAAGGAAAAGAAAAGAGAAATCTATATTATTTTTACTATTCTATATTATTGTTCCTATAGTCGCCTTCGCCATCCACAGGATAAAATGTATTGATAAATCTCATACATCGCTACCAAACCGCGTGCCTATTTGTAATTTTGTAATATTCCAAAACAAGTATACTGACCAGAATTGGGGTTAAAGGTGCAAGCATACTGCCAATACTGGAAGTCAGCGCGCACACTCCGAGTAAGGTACCCCTGATGCTGGTAGGGAATAGCTCCATCGTATACGTCGTAACTCCGGTGAAGCATACAGATATCAAGAGCTTGCCGAATAAAAAGAGGGTTATTTTGAGCCATGTATATTCTGAAAATGAAACATTTACTGTTGAGACATTATTTTTCTTAAAATATGAAGGAAGAGTGTACTGACGAGCATTCCTTATTTTCTCATTGCATATCATTATTCAGACCTATAAAGAAGTAAAGATGAAACATTCTGCTTTTAGAAGTGAGGCATGCCACATGAAGGTGGAGGATTGGTACTCTGCAGTCTGTGAACACAACAAAATTAAACCCAAACCCAAGCATACCACTGCAAGACTTCAAAATACTGTAAGTTCGTTTTGCGTAAATCGGACCAAAAATTAATATTCAAAAACTGAAGGTAGCCGGGCTAACAATGACATTGGGACGTCAAACATCTCAGTCCCTCCCGTGACCGTGGTTGCTGTAAAGCACCCGAAACGTCGGCAATTAAAAATAAGTAAAAATAGTGAAATAAACGCGATAAAATCCGTAAATTTAGTTTTATTCAATAGATTTTGGCTATTAGTGAAATACGAAACTCACGCAATTTGTAAATGAGTAAGTACACAAATTTCTAGTTTTAAAGTCTTTCAGTATTTAACTGAGAAACCAATGGAATTCTTACCCTCAGGGGTCCATCCAGATGCCACGCAGAGCAGCCCACAAATAAAATAACCATAAATGATTGGAATCTTTCGTCCTATTCTGTTCATCAAATACATTGATATTAGCTCGCCTGGGAACGACATTACTGTAGCTAGCATAAAATTCGTGTACTTATTTCCTGGCAGATACACCGAGTTCATCATTAGCCCATAATAAACAAAGCTGACGGAGAATCTACAGAACGCTCCAATCAGTAAACGTTTTAAAATCTCTTTTGATTTCAGTACAGCGCTTAAACCCTCCTTATGTTCATAATTCTCTATTTCGAACTCTTTTTTTAGGCTTTCTTCGTTCATATTTGCTAATTTTTGTTTGTTTATCTTGATATTGTTGACTTTAGATATATGTAGAAGTATGATTTTTGCATCTTCGGTCCGTCCATTTACTATTTGCCATCGAGGGCTCTCTTTAATAAGGAATATGTAGGAAATGAAGATGATAGTAGGACAATAAATTATTCGAATCAGGTTCTTCCAGTAAGGCACGAACATTGCTATACAAGCAAAAACTGATTCCCCCATATAAACAGTGTACGCGTACAGCACTCCAGCTAGAATTCTGTGTTTACCAGCAATTTCAATCACTGAAATTAACAATGTTGCAAAATTATAAATATATTTAAAAAAAACTGTGTTAGTTGATATAAAGTGACATTTGGATAGTTCGACTCCAATGAGCAACAATGAAAAAACTAATTAGTTGAAACTGTACTAAAACTAGAAACAAAACCGTCAGAGCATTTAAGCACAACTTACGACCCAAACCCGATTCGAATCCAAATAAACACATAGTCTTAAAACTCCAACCGAATTTGGAATCTAATTTAAAAAATAGACCTTGTCCAATTCGGATCCGAAAAAATGCAACAGTACACTTAGATCTGAGCCGTCAAACTATGGGAAAAAAGGCCCTCGAGTAAAGGTAAAGGCAGCCTCGTATCGGTGAGCGAAGTAAAGTGCCGCCTTAACTAGACAGAGTTAAGATCTAGTAAGGCATAAAAACGGTGTGTCGGTAGTGATCCCCGACCGTGTTTTGTGGTATTTCTTGGGCGAGGCATATATTTAGTAGTGGACTTGTGTTGTGGCTGTAATGTGGATAATGACGAAACATATCCGTCCTCTCAAATACTATGACACTTCTCGCTACAGAACTTTGTTCACTAGATGATAGAGCCATGTTGCAGCTATATTATGGTTGTAGCAGAAATGGGTCAGTTTGACCGGGATAGGACCAAGTTTTGAAAGAATACCAGCGTAAAATAGCAGTTTAATGTCGCTGTGTTTCGTACGGTGAGTGTAGAGAAACGGAGACTACTTGAAACGAGGGATTCCATCTTAACTCTCAGGGGTGAAAACGCGTCTGCATTTTGATTCTTAATCGAGGATAAATATAGACGTCTATGGGCCACAGCATTTACTTACTGTCAGGTGGATTGTGTGCTTATATGCCACGTATGTCCGTACGTATGTCCATAAAAAAATTGCTATGATCGAATTAAAAATAATAAATATACGGTAACATTCGTTACTAATTAAAATTAATAATATTTTTGTTACCTACTTAAAACCATGACTGCCGTATACGTGCCTCCAGCTACCAATGCTTCAAGCATTTCAACAGACACGTACACATCGTACGATGACGTGAAAGCTTTTAGATTTCCAATGCAACTTGCCACGGTGCAGATAATTAACATCGGTTTACGGCCAAATCTGCACACACATTTAGTAGATCTTTATTATTAGCTAAATTTTAACTCGCACGATATTAGATGCTCAAGGAAAGAATAGACTCCGTGATTAACTGACGCAAACAAACTAAGATAAACTGACCACAAGCGGTCAGCCACCGCAGAGTCTACTTCACCTAAGAATACCTCGTTTAGAGGCAAAACAACTGTCGTGCTATTGTCTGTGTTGTTTTCTCCCAGTGTAGTGGAGTAGTGGTGACGGGAATAGTGCACGCAATTGAGTAAGGGCTGGAGGTAGTTTCAAACTAAGTAAGACAATTTAATTACGCGGATCTTAGGTAAGTAATTAATTCTTAACATCTTTAATGAAATTCACAATATTTAACATATCTATTTCTTTGGTATCTATGCTAATTTCTAGGTGATTTTGATATACTATTGTTAAAAATCAGGGTACGAAATTAAAAAAAATCCAAAAAATAAAAGTGGAAATCTAATCTCTAACTCATACTAGCAGTATAAAGTACGACGCAGCCTCGTAGCGTGCGATTATGACCGGGAAATATCGTGAAGTGGAGGTGTAAGAATATCAACTACCGTATCTATCTTCACGTGGATGTCATAATAGGCGACAGAAGGAAACTGACATAGGAGATGGATAGCAGCATATTTCTGATAACAGCAAAATCACAATAAAAAATTGCCGTTGCAAACCCTAGCATTGCAACTATAGCAAATATCCTCGCATGAGCAACGAATCAAAGAAACGGCCCCTAGTCCCCGGTGGACCCTCTATTCCTGGTGATGGTGGCGACCATGGTAACATAGAGTGCTAAGAATCTTCGATAGAGGTTGCCACCTAAGACGACTCGCCTGGCAAAAATTAATGCACGCACCGTAAGGACTGACGTTCTATAACCGTAAAGGCAACCATCGGTCCCAATGAGATGTCGGACTTATCACCTTCAGGCCTCTCGTTTTGGTTGGGAGTGATTGGGAGTGCATCGACGAGGAGTGCGTACCTTATACTTAGAATTAAACCTCGGCATTAGTATGATGATATCTCTAGATGCACGCATTCCACCCAATAAAAACAGTGTTAGTAGGAGACTTCAACGAAAAACTAGGTACAAAAGAAAACAGTGAGTTGAAGGTATGGAAATTCAAAATAGGGCAACGAAAGCCAAGAGGCTAACAGCAGCCGAATTCATGAAAAACGAGGGACTCTTTATGATGAACTCTTTCTTTTAGAAGCGGCCCTGCAGATGGTGGATCTGGTTAACGTGGTGGACCGTTCGACAAAAAATGATATTGACTTCATTATGACGCCTATACGGCAACTGTTCAGTGATGTTCAGTAATGAAAACTGATAGCGATTACCTTTTAGCTGGCGTTACAAAATCATCGTTTTCAGTGTCCAGAAGACTACAGTGCAATGGGTAATAAGTGAGTGACAAGTTCGTGTAAACTGTCCACGCAGTCGGAGCTAAGTTCTGCTGGTCACATCACAGAAAATCACAAAAAGTCTCCAATCACGCTTTTAATCGGCTTTTAGACGCGAAATGAAGCTGCAAATAGATTTCCAATTTTCGGCAAGAACTAAGATCTCCAAATGCATGCGGCGGGATTTACACAACTTCAGTACAGCTCGTATTGAAGAAGCGTTCGAGCTGAACCAGATTTTCAAAGTCTTTACCAGAGATCTCTTTGCCAGAAAGAGCCAAATATGTGATTAAAAGGTTCTACGGACAGATGTACACGTCATCATTGGATCCTCACTCACAGGACTCTGAGGATCCAAAAGCAAATCTTATCCAACACTATTCCGATGATATCTCGGACATCAGTTTGAGTGAATTAGAATGGCTCTCCGGCACTTTGAAAACGGTATCCTTATATATTTCGGTTACACGTGGCAGAGCCATGCTGCGGTTATATTAGTAGTATAGTTGTAGCACGAATGGGTCGGCTCGACCGGGGAAGGACCACGCTCTCACGGAATACCAGCGTAAAATATTAGCTTAATGCTGCTGTGTTTCGTATGGTGAGTGTAGAGAACCCGAGACCCTTTTTACTGGAAACGAGGCATTCCATCTTAATCCTCACGGGTGACAACACACCTGCATTGTGATTTGTAATCAAGGATAGATGTAGATGTCTATGGGTCGCAGCAACCACTTACCATCAGGTGGACTGTGTGCTCGTTTGTCACCCTATCCTATTAAAAAAATGTGTATAATAGCCAGCCGGTAAATATTCTACAGGATATATTATCAAACATCTACGCGCGAGTTATTGATTATTTCCTCCTTCTTCCTTCTATGAGAATAGTGGGCTTATATAGGGCTCCGCCGCTTTGTTTCTCTTGGTGGCACGTAGTGGGAGCACTCCAAGCGAAACAGATAGTAGTGGACGAGCGGGAAAGTACTCGACGCCACGCTGCGCGTTTAATGCTTATTACACTACTTATTGTTAATGGCACAGAAATCAAGTACTGGCTTTTAATATTATGAGTTAACGCTGTAACCTGTTTAAGAATATTACTGTAGGTAAGCTGTCTCAAGCTTATTTGTACTATCCATCGGTATTCAGTAAACTTTATTTATTATCTAAATATGACACTTCATCGCTATTTATTGTTCTGTACCAAAGGTTACTTCCTTCCTGATTTTTAATTTATCTTCCTGTATGTACTAAAAAACGTGCTTAGACCAATCCTCGGCTTTGTGTCTGCTCAAAATTACTTGACCCGACGAAGATCCTCCGCAAACGCGAGCCTATATTCACACTGATACAGAAGATAGATATCAGTAGTTTAAGTTCTCAGAAAACACTTTAAAAATATTTGGGTTCTTACCTGTCTATCAGCCAACCAGATATTATCATTGCAAACAGCATCCCAACATTGTGAATAGTCCCAATTAAATTAGACTTCCACGGCTGACATGCGAGATTGAGCTGCAAAAACAGTCATGTGATGTTTTAAATTTTTCTTTTCTCAGTTGGTTTGCTGTTTTTACAAACTAACCATAAAAGTTATAAAGGGCGGACTTAACGCGAAATAGCATTATTTGCAGGTGAATTTGTAGGGGCAATCGGACTGCACTGTCGACCTCCGGTCAGAGCAGGGGGTGATGTGGTAAGGTCTATTATATTAAAGCATTATTATAGAAGGTCTCTACGATGTATAAGCATTAAAAACTAGAATTGTGGATTGATGTCCTATATATTAAAGACTTGGATTGGAAGATGGTGAGGTCTATGATACAAAAGCGTTATTGTGGAGGGTATCTATGATGAATGAGCATTGCAGTGGTAGAGTTGTGGGTTGAAGTCCCATATATTGAAGGCATATGAAAGTGGGGTCTATGATACAATAGCATTATTATGGAAAGTCTCTTTGATGCATAAGCATTATGATGATAGAGTTGTGGATTGAAGTACTATATATTGAGGACATATAATAGTGGGGTCTATGAAATAAAGCAAATATGTGGAAGGTCTCAAATATGTAAAAGCATTGTATTGATGGAAATGGGACTTAAAAGGGATTATTATAGTGGCGTGTTGGACTACGTCACAGGCAACCGGGGCCGAAGTGTGCTTGAACTCGCTAACTGATGTGTCCTGGACGTGTCTTCTTGGTTCCGGTGGTGGGCGGATTTGTTGTAGCAATACGACTTTCCCGTGGACATACCCATACCACTGGTGGGTGGCATCGTAGCGCGTAGCGATGCGTCGGCTATAATGTTGTCCAAAATCGGTCTTGGTCTTGCAGTCTTGGTCTTGTTTTTGCATTTTTGCAAGACCAAGACCAAGAACAAGACCGCCTAATTTTAGCAAGACCAAGACCAAGACTGACCGTGCAAGATTTGAGCAAGAACAAGACTAAGTCTGCGATACTCTTGCGTCTTGCAGTTAGGAATGAGTGTCGTTTCAGGGAGTATAGAAGTTCGGGTATACGCTTAGGGACTCTATGAGACGCAAAAATATATAACAAAAATTTGGAAAATTGGACTTATGCGCATTACGAACAATACCATAAACATACATAGCGTATAAAAATATTAATTAAGAGGGCATATGCGTTTCGCGTCGAAAACCACATGTTTTATGGTTTTTCCAAAGGCGATATCGTAACGACGTGAGGAGATTATTTGCTGAAAATTAGGGCTTTAGAAAGATGAAGTCTTTATTTAGTACATAGCAATGCAAAATCATAGTTTTTAATGACGGGTTTTTAGGGTGAAGACAATCCCTTCACAGTGTTTTACGAAAATATGCATCAGAGTTATCTTTCAGGTTGAATACAACCATTATTATAAGCCAAACTACTTTATTTTAAGCGTTATTATAATGGAATATATAGTCTTTTAGTGTATAGCAAAACCTAAATTACGAAAATATTTCGATTTAATATTATAAAATAATATTATAAAATCACCAAAACTGTCTACTTCAATGTAATTTTTTTCCATGTATTTGCTTATAAACATATCTATTTTAATAATTTTATCAAAATACATGTAATGTTAAATATCCAATAAAATTTTTAGTCAATTATTTTATATAATTATTTTAAAAATACTATAAAACATCATGTGCGGACACCGTTCGATTCAGTACGCTCCGGGTAATCCCAACGACAGGACGTATTACTTTTTCTCACCGACACCGCGCGATCGCAATGATACACCGATAGGGCTATACTACACCATACTATAACTAGATACCTATAGCACCATCGAGCATTTTAAACGATTCACTTTTATAAGCGATATTTTTGGTAGTAAGTAATTTTGAAATATGTTTATGATTGTAATATTTAAATATTAAATGATGTAATGGTGGCAAATTTTCATTTAATATATATTTTTTTAGAAATGAGTACCTAATGAACGTAAGCAATTTGGATCAAGTAAAAATACAAAATCGTTGGCTTTGGCTCCGTGGCGGAGTGACTTGGTAATGAGTTGTAGCGCTGAGCGCCGCAGGTTCGAATCCCACATGGAACAAAAATTTGTATTACCTACAAATAATTGTTCCAGGTCTGGATGTTTGTCCTTGTGAAATTAATGTATTTAAACTGCCCCAACGATGTACTTAGGAAAAATTCCTAGTTTGGAGATAACGTTATGGTTAAACCAAGACATGCCATCAAAAACATAACTTGTAAAATAACCAAGTCTCGCAATGATGATACGGCCGTGCCGCTGTTTAGATCGACATGGCGGGGGCACTATCGTGCCCCCAGATATAAAACATATGAGCCGTGCTTGAGTTGAGTACCTCAAGGGCGTAGTGCTCGCCGTAAACGCGAACAATCCGGGCTCGATCCCCGCTAGTGTTGCCAGGTGTCCCGATTTGCGCGGGACGTCCCGATTTTCAAGGGTCTAGTGACACGTCCCGATTCACCCTTGATCGGGACGCCAAATGTCCCGATTTTCACTAACCTTGTGATTCTATACTTAATCCATAATTTTGACAGCAAAAATGATTATATCTGTTAGCTACTACCACATTAAAATATTTTTACTACGACATTGTCTCACCAGTCGCAAAAAAACCACAAAAGTTGTAAACAGAATTATATTAAAATGAGTGATTTGAAAAATTCAGGGACCGCAAAAAAATAACAAATAGTTCAAAAATGTTTTAATTCGCCTGAAATGAAAAAAATTCAGTTTTTACGATGTTTGGATGAAAACTTATTCGTTTATGAGATCAGACCCGGATAATAATTATAAAGCACAAAAATAAAGTTACAATCACATTTCTCGCATTACTCGCATACTGTGATATTTACAGTTAGCGTTGATCATCTGAGCTACCACGGCTCTCAATAAAGCACAAAAGGCTACAAAGAAACCTATATTTTGTAGTCATTCTAGTTGTCCAGATATGAAAACCAAATCCTCGATTATTTTTACCTTCCGTCCCGAAATTTTACTTGCTAGACCTGGCAACACTAATCCCGCTGACACTAATGAAATTGTTAGTTTGATGAATTATGTTTACATTATGAGTTTTTCAAATGATATATATTTTATACAATACATATTTTTCAATTAGAACATATACACATATTATAATATACTCAATAGGGTGAAAATGTAAAGCCGACTTCAATTTACTAAAAAAATAAAACAATTTTCACACATTAGCCTCCGAATTCTATACACTATATAAGCCATTATATGGAAATTATTTTTTTATTATATTAGTTCCAATAGTATCAAAGACAGGTGTATATAATCAAAGATCAAAGTGATTCGTAGTCGTCGTTAGGCAACTATTATAGCCTCACGCTCGGCCTGACACGCACACAGAGATAACATTGTAGTGTGCGTCAATATTACGCCGTTCCAAAGCGATCGCGTAGATTTCGACTTGGACATATTTGAATATGCGCTCTTAAAAGAAAAAACAGTGCATCCCTAGTTTTGACCATCGGCACTTTGATAGTGCGCGGTGTCTTGTTGTCGGCATCATCAAAGGTCGAATACTGATCTGTCAAAGAAATTTTGCAGCTATTCGGAAGTACAAGGTCAAGATACACGCGCCGGCGGCTTCTATTGATATCGCATTCAATCGTCGCCGCCGCGCCGCACGCACTACATTTGACACTGTTTGAATGGCGCCACAGAGTACATGTTCCAAAGAATAAAATAAGTTTCCGGGTGCTCAGAATGGACACGAATACTTTATGCTGATCTTGCAAGGAATATTGTAATTAGATAATATTAAGGATAGGTAGATACCATAATAATTTATTCTCATCATCATCATCATCATCACAGCCCTTCACAAGTCCACTGCTGAACATAGGCCTCCCCCAAGTAATGCCACAAAGCACGGTCCTGAGCCACCTGCATCCATCGACTTCCTGCATATCTTACCAGGTCGTCACTCCATCTAGTGGGGGGTCACCCTACACTACGCCTACCGGTACGAGGCTGCCACTCGAGAACCTTTCTTCCCCATCGGTTATCGGTTCTTCGAGCTATATGGCCGGCCCATTGCCACTTCAGCTTACTAATCCGTTGGGCTATGTCGGTCAATCTGGTTTTACTGCGGATATCCTCATTTCTGAGTCTATCACGCAGAGAAACTCCGAGCATAGCCCTCTCCATAGCTCGCTGAGCGACCTTGAGCGTCCTCATACGGCCAGCAGTGAAGGACCACGTCTCTGATCCGTAAGTCATCACTGGCAACACGCACTACACTTTAGTTTTCAGAGATTGAGGTATACCTGACGAGAAGATATGTCGTAATTTCCCGAACGCTGCCCAGCCGAGTTGAATCCGTCGATTGACCTCTCGGTCGAAGTTGGACTTACCTAGTCGGACTATTTGTCCCAGGTAAACGTATCGTCGGCAAATCGAAGGTGAGTGATGTACTCGCCATTGATGTTAATACCGTATCCTTTCCAGTCCAGTAGCTTGAAAACGTCTTCCAAAGCAGCGGTGAAGAGTTTCGGGGATATAACGTCACCCTGTCTTACACCTCTCTGCAGTTGGATAGGTTTCGAGCTCTGGTTCTGTACTCGGATAGCCATCGTAGCCCTACTGTACAAACACTTCAGCACTTCAATATACCGACAGTCAACTTGGCACCGCTGAAGGGACTGCAGCACCGCCCAAATTTCGACAGAATCAAAGGCTTTCTCATAGTCCACATACGCCAGGCAAAGTGGCAAATTGTACTCTTCAGTCTTCTGTACAATCTGCCGCAGGGTATGTATGTGGTCTATGGTACTGAAGCCTTTTCGGAAACCGGCTTGTTCGGGAGGCTGGAAGTCGTCGAGTCTGCGTGCGAGACGATTCGTAATGACTCTCGAAAACAGCACGTAGACGCGGCTCAGAAGGGAAATCGGTCTGTAGTTCTTCAAGAGAGCGTTGTCGCCTTTCTTAAAGAACAAGACCACCGCACTTCTGCTCCACGCCTCTGGAGTAGTGCCACCATGGAGGACGGAATTGAAGAGCTTCTGAAGGACTTCAAGTACCGGTGTTCCACCCGCTTTCAGAAGCTCCGCTGTAATTCCATCCTCGCCTGGGGCCCTGCCGTTTTTAAGGTGCTGGAGAGCCATTCTAATCTCGCTTAGACTGACGTCCGGGATATCATCGGAATAGTGTCGGATAAGACTTGCTCTTGGATCGTTACTCACACTTGCGTGTGGCTCGTAATTTATTCTAGTAAGTAATTATTATAATATTAACTATATGGGTTTATAATAATTACTTACTATTATTATTATTACCTAATAGATAAACATGTTCACTGCAAATCTCGATTTTTGGAAGTGTGTGTTTTTCAACACAAAGTGTTCGAATATGTCGTCACCCATTTGATAAATATTGTAGACACTTTTAACACACTTGAAACGTGTAAACATTTTGTACAATCCTAATCGAATTATACAAAAAGTGTGTATATTAAATAAAAAGCGTAAAATAAGATCTATGTACTTTTTAGAAGCCCGAGTATCTCTTAAAGAACCGTTTAAAGAAATTGATTGCATCGAATTAATGTAAATAATAGTGATTTGCACAATTTTAATAGTGATTTGCACAATTTTAATAGTAGAAATAAAAATAAAATCACAATACCTGCTTTCTGGTTACACAAAGTATATAATAAGATTCCAAAAGAAATGTTAGATCTTTCACCTTTTCTATTTAAGTCAGACAAAAATGCTTGGAACTGACCTCTCGTACTACACAGGACTAACTGGAAATTTCTAAACCGATTTGGTATCTACATATACATTTGACATTTTATGTTTAACTTATCGCTTCGCATAATTATAGAACTATTGTAAAAATATTTTGAAAAGAGCAACTACTGAGTTTCTTACTTTCTTCCATGATTCTTCTCAGTAGAATCAGAACCCCTGGACATGGAAAAGAAAAAAATGGGGAAAACAGTGATTATATGACTATTTGAAAGTGTATTTTTAATGCCTACTTGAATAAAACATATTTGAATTTTGAATTTCAAACGAGTGAAGGCAAATTTAATTTAATTAACGTAGATTAATTCAATCACAAGAAGAACATAATATACACAATTTTATTTGCATATTTACATTTCATTTTTACGTAGGCATACTATACCTATCTGGCAACGCATCTACTTTATTAATCTTCTGAAGAATCATTAATTTTATCAAAGGATGCCGAACTTTATTTTGTCGGTCTTTCGGCGTGTACTTACAAATAGTAGTATTTATTTTAATTCGACGAAGACGAAGAGTCGAATAGTTCTAGTCGGAGTAGTGAGAGTTGGAGTTATAGATCTAAAAGACCTAAAAGTAAATGAGTATAAAAAAGTTGATGAGTTTTTCGACGTAATTCATGCATCCCAAATTGCTTTGTGTAAATTATGCCAACATAAAAAGTTTGAAATAAAAATGAAAAACAGAAACACTTCAGGCTTAAGGAAGGATCTAATATCTTTCCACAAAAAGGGAATCACAAATATTTCTTCCTCAAAAACCAAAATTAAGTGGAGATATCGCAAGCTTTTTAATAACCACCGGAAGAAGTGTACAGGTAAGAAAAAATATACTTATCACACAATTACATAACACATATATTATGTAACTAGCGGCCGCCTGCGACTTCGTCCGCGTACAATATCTGATTTCCTATGAGATTTTGAAATTTTCTCGCTGCAAAAGTCTTACCTAAGTACAAAGGGGCTATATAGGTAAAGCTTAACTATGCAAGTATTTATTATTTAAAACTAATAAAGTAAATGTCGATCTTCATATCTATACTTTAAAAATATAGGACTTGCATGTAACCATTTTACCCCATTGAAAACTTATAACTTTAATGCCGATTTTCGTGTCTCTAACTTCAAAAACGTAGGACTTTCATACAAACTTCCAACTCCCATTTCACTCCCTTAGGGATATTTTTATTATTTATTTATTTCACAATTTATGTACACACAAGTTAGGGAGAGGACACATCATGATAAAAAGTTTGTATTTTCTCAAAACCGTTTCTTAACTGATCTCTATGTCATAAAAGGAACCTACCTTACAAACTTCAAGTTTGTATGTTTTATAGTTCCTGAGATATCGTTATAGTCAGTCAGTGAGTGGTAGTTTTCACTTATATTTTCATTTGTTTTTATAATCGGCGAGACACATGATTTACTGTTTTATTACAGTCTGAAAATAGCAGTGACAACATCACGACAGCTACAGTTGATTGGATGGTTAAAAATATCTTCCCTTCTCATTTTTCGATGACGAATCTACACAAGTATATTTTTGATCAATTTTCCCAAATATGGTGTTTCCTAAAAGGTCCACACTTAGAAGGAATGTCCAAGAACGGTTTGAAGAGCTTCAATCGAATCTTAAGAAACGACTACAACAATTTTCATCTAAAATGTCATTTACCATTGATGGATAGACGTCAATTGCTGGTAGGAGTTACTACGGGATCACTATTCATTATATAGACAACGAATGGAAATATCGATCTGTGGTTCTTGATTTTATACCATCACGCGGTCGACATACTGGGGAAGATATTGCAACGATTTTCCACGAATGTTTATTGGAATATGACATAATTGATAAAATACAGGTTATCCCACTATAAATTTATGTATGAATTGGACAAACAGCTGCCACACTTTGATTCAGACAATCAACATTTCCAGTGCTTTGCTTACATTTTGAACCTTGGTGTACAAGATTTATTAAAGACCTTAGCATTACACAGTGAAACTGACAATAAGGGACAAGAACAGCAGTATGAAGATAATGAGACGAAACTGAGGAAGATGAAGAATATGCGCCAAATATTGCTGACTCACGTACAGCTATAACAAAATTACGCAGTATTTCCAGTAAAATAAAAAGAAGTGAGATATTGAAGAGGAAGTTTCAGTCTGCTTGTGAAGCAGCTGGCTTGCCATCAAATCTGAATCCCATACTCGACTGTCCAACGAGATGGAATTCCACACATGATATGATTGGATTTGGTTTAAAAGTGAGAACTGACATTAACATATTGTGCACTTCTGTCACCGAATTGAATGATTTTCAAATCACAGATAGTGAATGGCAAATACTCAAAAAAATACATAAGTTTCTAATAAACTTTAAACTTCTATCAACGAAACTTGGTGGAGAAAAATATGTTACATTACCGCTAGTCTTTGTATCATTCAATCTCTTGCTCGATAAAATTGAATCCATGGTAAAACAATTAGATGAGAAACCTAATCGATCCGAAGTGGATGAAAGGATCATTCTGGGTTTTCAAGCAGCTCGAACAAAATGCTTAAACATTATAAAAAGAGCAACTGGATTTATTGTACCTCTTTAATTTTAGACCCAAGGCATAAGACTCAGACTTTTTACACGACATTATGGGGGAAGCAAATTAAAACAGAAAGCCTGCGCAAAATTAATGAACTTTATAAAGAATATAAAAGTCTACACTCAGTGAACACATCTCTAGAATCACCAAGAAATGAAAACAAAGTATGTGAATATGATGAAGATCAAGACGTAATAGACTTTGAGAAATTGTATGCATGTCCCTCGACGTCATCTGGATCTGGATCTTTTCATTAATGGCTTAGTTATAGACGAGTTGGAGGAGTACCTAAGTAAACCCAGAGCCACCAGTTCGGAAGACATTTTAGAGTGGTGGAGGACGCATGAGACAGAATATCCGACTTTATCGAAGATGGCCCGTGATTTTCTTTCAATACCTGCACTTTTTATTTTTTAAAATATCATTAGTAATTATAAAACATAGAAATAGGTTAAGTGATGAGTCAGCCAGATGGTTACTTTGTATTAATTCTTGGTCAAAAGAATTAATATAAAGTAACAGTAATGTCAAAGCTGTTGTGTACTGTTGTAATTTAATTTGTATTGTATTTTAATTTTTTTATTTAAATAAATGGTAAATTGTATAACTCTTTTATTCCATTTCATATAAGGGTCTATCAATCTCTTTCTAGACAGATAATGTTCTTTATAATACAGTCAAGTTAATGTCATTAATTTGTTTTTTATATGTTTTGACTAAGTTTTAGCACATGTAAGCTTATTAAATGTAAACGTTTACTAAGAAACAGACTAACTCCCGTGGCCGTGAGACTTGGTAGACAGCTCAGTTGGTTAGAGCATCGGCACGGATCGCTTAGGTCGTGGTTTGAAACCCCACCCGGTATTAGTTGATTTTTCGAATTTCTCATTAAATGTTTAGACATTTATTAATTTGGTTGGTCTTTCTATGTTAGTTCAAACTCAAAATGTGCCTACTCTGTTAAGTTGTTCTAAGATCTAAAGTAACGTTTAATAAATAACAATAGGCTAATAGGTAATTGCGAGACTTGCGAGACTCTTGCTGCAAGACCAAGACCAAGAACAAGACTGAGAGCGCAATACCAAGACCAAGACTGGCTAAGTCTCGTCTCGTTCTTGCATTTGGGCTACACTACCCGCTAAGCGGGGCTCCGTCGACCGGGCCCGTTATACTGTAAGAAATTAAGTCTATTGATAATCTACCGTTCAATTATAATATCACCGATAAAATTGTAATATCTCAACTTTGACAAAATACCCGCGACATATATACTGATATAATATAATTAAATAAATAGTTACTTGTACCGCTGCTTTACCTGGAGTTCACCACGCACACAGGGTAAACTAACAGAGCTAAACAAGGACCTCTCCCACTCAATGTCAGTATGATTTGCCTTACTCGTTTGGCATCGCGGACTGATGATCGCAGTAACAGACGCGTTGCAACTTTGACGTTACTGGATATTTTTCTATGTGCATCGCTGAAGTCCGTTTATTACGTTTATGTTGCCTGTAGTGAAAATAACTTACCGGAGCTACGACGGTGTCATTAGTTTCGTACACCCAGTCAGTGCATTCTTCGACCTCATCTGTGAAAATTTCGTTGGTGCACGTTTGCCCAACTTTAAAGTCCTCTTTAAGTTTTGGTCTCGTGCATCTGTCAATAGTCTTGTTGGGCCACCACGTGGCGTTATAAACTGCATATTGGTCTTCACATTCAGAGATCCGGCACCTAAAACCATTTTACTAACTTAGATCAAAAAAGAAACATTGACAGAACAAATCGTAAGGTTTTATGGTTAATGCTCTGATTCATTATTATAAAATAATACACGTACATAAAATATACAACAAATATAAATGGTTTATTGGATTGCAGCAACAAATTAGCCAAATCTATGTATTTATATGAAATTTACCGTAAGATTTAGTTCAAATTGTGCGTCTTAAAATTACGTGAGCTGTACTTTTCAATAATCACAAATGAAAATACACGATTCATTAGGTTTCTATCAGTGAGCTCGTGTGGTACCCAAATATAATGTATCAAGCTTTTTTTGTATAGCCAGACTATTTCAAATGGGTCAAAACTATTTTGTGGTTAATCTTTAAATTCCTTGGCCATTTCGTTACTACTAATATGCCGATCTTACTCCACTTTTCAAAAATAGCATCTACTTTATCCGTATGAGGGCAAGACGAGCGAGCTGCACCTATGACGTCAAAATTCCCGGATTGAAAATGCTTGAACCAACTTTGTGCTCGTCTTGGTGACACTGTATTAGGTTCATAAACATTAAAAAAATTCTCGGCTTGAGTCGCTTTTTCGCCTTTATTGTAATAAAACTTCAAAAGGTATCGAATTTTTTAGTTAGGCACACTCATATTGGCCGGCAGAAAAACAATTGAAAAGTAGCGGGAAAGTGTTTTCTACTTTTTAGTTTTTTCCTCAATGTCATAATTTGTATTGATATTAAAACCAGCCAGATACAAACAGTACAACCAAAAGAGATTTTTCTTCAATTTTATACAAACAAAATACTAAGAAACTTTCCCTGACCGATTATTTGTGCAATGTCCACAATATATAATGCTTTTAAAACTTCAGTAGTCATTGTACATCGCATTTACGTTTACCGAAAGTAAAGTAATGAAATGTACTTATATATTGCAAAACAGTACCGTTTTTAAATAACTCGACCTTATCTGTAATGAAATGCTATCCTTTGTTCTCGTAGCAACGTCTTCGACTGATCTCCGTCCATCCGGCTCGAAATTGGACCAAATGTTGTTGATTTTAAGGTACACTGTTCAATTTACTTGGTATTGACAGAAAGAGGCGTGTGTTCTTTAGTAATGACATAGTATAGTAGGCTATCTTCTAAGAAATGTACCGAAACGCCGCTAATATGTGTGCGTGCCTGGCACGTGACAGTACGGACTCGTACGGACGAGCCACAGGACGCACACAACGATACTTGCTAAGTTTTAAAGGTCTGGCCGAGTCGGGGACAGCCACCGCCGCCGCGCTCCGCAATCACCTTTGTTTGAGACTTTATTGACTTTAAATAAAATTTTGATAATAGTCTTTTTTTCGTTTTATTTTTTATTTTTGTAAAATAAATTGGTATATGGGTTTAAGTAAGTTAGCTTTTTATTAATAGGTTATATAACTATGTCTATACATAAATAGATACCCCATAAGTACATTAATTATCATATCACATCACATCAAGTCAATTTTAAACATTAAATCTAAGCCGACACCATATGCTCAGTGTTAATTTACTCGTATTTTAGTAATTGGCATTTGTTGTAATGTAAAGCTGGAATTTTTTTTGACAAACATTGGTTCTTTGAGAGGAAACTAAGCAAGTGATTAACAATAAAATAGTCCACTGTGGAATAAGGTCTATAAAAACTCCGTGAAGTAATTTGTTGTGCAAAACAGAACAGCACCAGAGTACAAAACCTATCCAATACAAGTGCAGAGAAGGGTAAGACACTGTGGAGGTATACCTCCGAAACTCTTTACCGCTGTATTGGAAGACGTTTTCAAGGCACTGGACTGGAAAAGATACGGTATTAAAATCAATTTTTTTTAGGTTTTCCCCTGAACTACTAAAAGGATTGTTCATCCACCACATATTTAAGATTTGGAACCTACAAATTTATATCCTTTTTATTTTTAACAGTGCACTATTATAACATAGAATATTGATAAAAACTACTAGACTGACGAGCGTATGAGAGTTTAGGTTATAGTGAGATTACCGTTTGATTGTTAATTTCTCAGTATTCGCTTTAGATATGGTAAAACTAATATTACCATTATAATTTAGAAATTTTAAGGAATAAATGCACATGCATTTCATTAGCTAGCTATCTGCGTAGGATAAGACATTAGTGTACGAGTGCGTGCGCAAGCTTAGATGCGTTCCATATTCTCTTATTATAGTTCAATGAACGGCAATTCGATACAACCGGAGAAGGATTAGGCGCAAGACTAACGGATTTATATGCTTTCTAAGATATGGAGGTAAAACATCACCAACTTTTGACGCTGAGGTGCTACTGAGAATTTCTCTACAGAAAAATCCAATAATTTATCCCGATCTGGGATTCGAACCCGGGCTTATATGCTGTCCGCATACTTTGAATTTAGAGGTGTGAGCCAGTTTTACCCACGTCGATTACTTAATTAATCAAATATCATAAACTCAACTAATTATGAATTATTTATATTAGTTACGAACTTGTAAAATAAATAACGCGACAAAAGGTCAAAGAAGTCTTTAAGAAATTAGGTAACACTGGAATTCTTTAAATATATTTTTTTAATTATTATAGTACAAATACTTACTGAAATATCATTGAAACAGTTGGGTAACGAGCATCTTACTCCGGAGGATAATTATTAAAGATGTTTATGGATTTAAATAAATGCTATATATATGTGTGTGTGTGTGTGTGGTGAAATCTTTACAATTTTAGTTTCAAATTGATCTTATGACCGTCGTCAGTTGTAAAGCAAATATAATGTTATAATTATACTCCTACATACCGATAGTTGAGATCCCCAGCAACAAATACATAGTTTATGTTAATCATTGTAATGAGTAACGAAGCAATACAAATGTAAAGGTACTGTACTTTTTGATATTTTCCAAATTTCTCCATTGTTTCTTTAATTTTTACTTCCCCCTCTTCATTAGCTTCAAAGTTGTCAGCACCCATTCTAATATTTTTTGTAAAATATAAATGAAATATCTTGTTTGTTTTACACACTCACACGTCAACATGTATCACGTAACATAAGAACAAAACTACACAAAATAATATTTTTTTTTACATTTTATGTCACATGAATCGGTGTAGGCCCCATAAGTCGTGACAGTCGAATGCGTGCCAAATAATTACCAAATAAAAACTAGAGACGATTCGATTTGATTTAAAACCGGTATCAGGAATACGTTTCGTCCAATATAGAAATCAATGCAACATGTTACTCTAAGTCCAAGAATTAAGAGTTACTACAAAATTAGAAAAAAAAAAGTTGCTTTCGTTTGCAAATGTGGCAACGAGCACAATGTTCCTCATGGTTTGTTTTCGTACACACTTGTGTCTTAAATAGAGGGTCATGGACAATATTACGGGCAATTAATTTAAGAAGTTAGATACAATACAATATTTTTTTTATTTTTTATAAATTCTTATTTGGAAGTTTTAATAAAGTATTGCACAACATAAGTAGTAACATAATAATATTCAATAGTGTATTAATAAATGTATGTAATTAGTTAATTTTCACCCTATAGTATATGTTATATGGCGATGGGTAGTAACTTATGATATTTTAGTATCATTCAAACGATAATCGGACTTTCAACCTACGACAAACATGTGCTTGTAACGGTGGCATATTTGGTGTCTTTGTCAATCCCAATTTATTATTGAACTAGCTTTTTACCCATGAAATCACAAAACTAGCAATATTGGATCACTTTTGGAGTCACCTCAGCGTCTGTGTTATGTTTGCCTTTCACAGATTTTCTCTGTCTCGTATTTTTTTAGTCTGCTACAGGATACTACAGGAGCACTTAAGTGACTTCTTCAAAATTGCATTAATATCATACGCTTAGCAACACCTTCTACTTCTTATATCGGGAATCGGGCGGTCTTCCGTTGTATTGATACCATTGCTATCACAACGTACGAGTATATAAGTTCATTGCTGAACGGAGACAAGCGCAGTTTTTTAATTATTTTGAGTTGTTATCAGAAAAAATTCTGCTGCTCATCTCCTGTGTCAGTGTCCTCTTGTTGACTCTTACGACATCCACAAGACGACATGAACTAGTGGATACTATCACACCGCCTCTACACAGGTCCTGTTTGTCAGATGTATTCTTATTAGGGATAAATTGTCTTGGAATCAGAATTGCGTTATTTACATTTTATTCTTTACATTCATTCCTCATTACAGTAAGTATAAGTTTAGACAAAATAATGTTGAATACGCATGATTTTTCTCTTTTGATTAAAAGATATCCACCTTTTAATTTACGGTGATGGCGATATTTGATATCTTATTATTGGCCCCAATAAATGTTGGTTGGCACCATAAAATATAATCCTGATACACTTTATCATTTTGATTCACAGTTAAAGAGAAGAATGATATTCATGAATTAAAATAGGTTAAAGTAGAGTAGTAGGTTTCTACAAGTTATTCTTCATCACTTCACCACCGAGAACGAGGAAGTCGGTACAAAATATTATCTATAACATTTTCATTGGTCATCTCAGGAATCGTACACGTTTTTTTTTCCCGTGCCATGAAATCTGATAATTAATTTGTAATTAGTTACTTAACGATGCCACGAACTATTCCATTAAATAGAAATAAAAATGTCAAAGTGCGCTTAATTTATAATTAATTAATATTTGCAAAAATTATTACAACGCCGATAGACACGTATTTGAAAAGGACGAAGAGAGAACGAAATGTGAAATATGGGTAAATCAGGAATGTCTAGAACAGGTAAATGAAATTGTATACTTGGGGAGTGCCTTCAGCCGGGATGGAAGATGTGATTTAGATGTGGATAGGCGTGTCGCTGCCGGAAACAAAGTCAATGGTGCCCTGAATGCATTAGTAAAAAGGCAAGGCGTGGTGAAGAGTGCACGCCTTGCAATACATAACGCAGTGTTGGTACCGACTTTGTTATATGGCAGCGAAACCTGGGTATGCCAGAAGAAGCATAAAAGCAAGTTAAATGCAGTGGAGATGCGATCTATTCGTAAAATGTGTGGCGTTACCATAGCCGACCGAAAGCGAAACGAAGAGATTCGCAATATGGCAGGATTGAAAGATGACCTTATCACAAAAATTTATAGGGGCGTACTCCAATGGTTTGGGCACGTTGAACGAATGAGTGAAGACCGAATGGTGAAGAAAATATATAGAGCGAAAGTAAATATTAAAAGGTGTCGAGGTAGACCGAGATTAACTTTCGAAGACCATGTGAGCAAATTGCTCGAAGAGGGGAGGGTCAAGAGTACTCGGATACCTAGACGTGCATGTATTAAGAAGTTAATGAACCTGAAAGAAGCGAAAGAGGTATGTAAGGATCGTGACACTTGGCGATCTGTTCTCTCTGGCTACCCCGTTAGGGATTGTGCGTGAAGATAAGTAAGTAAGTAAGTAAGCCGATAGACACCAAATATATTCAATTAAAGATATATTATTTCTCAATACATAGTTTTATGTCTATAGTCTAACTCTAACAGTTTAGTTTTTAACTAAACGTAGCAATTACGGCAAATCATTCCGACAACGGACACCACTCTGGATATTATAAGTGTGACAATTTTAACTAAAAGATTAAGCATTCAGTAGCGTTATAGTTGTGTCATTAATCAGTTACTTAATATAAGTTTATTTAGCAGTAAGCAGATAGCAATATCGTTCGATTAAAACTAGGAATGCCAAAATTGTACCATCTAATAATAGTAGTGACTGAGTTGTAACTACGTTGGTTCAAGGCCGCCCAGTATGTTAGACGGGTCTCGCACAAAAAGCTCACACTAATCTTCACCTACATCGTTGCGATTTTTTGCAAATTCTCGGCCTTAACTTCTTTATCGGACTGTGACAAAACATGTTGATTTAATACAAGTATTATAATTTGAGGTGGTCTCGGTAAATTTTATAAAAATTATGAAAAATTAAAAAATTAAAGATCAGGTTTAACAATAACTTTTCTGATACTTTACAGTTTTATTGACATATTTCATCAACCGTTTTGTGTATTGGCGGTTAAGAATATCCACTACCCCATATCTTCCCTTGGGTGTCGTAAGAGGCGACAGAGGGAGACAGGCAGGAGATGGGCAGCAGCATCTTCCTGATAACAGCAACTGTACGACAAAAAAAAAACTGCGGTTGCCAACCCGCTCGCCAAGCGTGGCAACTATGGCAATATACCCCCCATGAACAATTACACAAATAGACGGCCCCCAGTCCCCGGCGGCCCCGCTATTCCTGGCTACGGTGGCGACCATGGTAACGGCGGGGCAGGGGGTGCTAAGAATCTCCGGTGGAGGTTCGGTTGCCACCTACGACGACTCGACCTGGCAACATTTAACGCACGCACACTGAGGACTGACGAGAAGATCCTGGAGCTGGAAGAAGAGATAGACAAGTTGCGCTGGAGTATTATAGGATTATCCGAGGTCCGAAGAGAGGGGGAGGACACGGTGATTCTCGAATCCGGCAACTTGTTCTATCACCGGGAGGGCGACCATCTGTCCCAAGGAGGTGTCGGATTTATCGTCCACAAGTCTCTCGTCAACAACGTTGTACAGATTGAGAGTGTGTCGACGAGGGTCGCGTACCTGATACTCAGAATCACCAAACGGTATTCGCTGAAGGTCATACAGGTTTACGCACCAACGTCGGCACATTCCGATGAGGAGGTGGAGGAAATGTATGAGGATATTTCCAAAGCCATACATTCCTCCAAAACCCACTACACGGTGTTGATGGGAGACTTCAACGCAAAACTAGGCACAAGAGAAAGCGGTGAGCTGAAGTTAGGGAAATTTGGAGTAGGGCAACGGAACCGAAGGGGCCAGCAGCTGGCCGACTTTATGGAGAAAGAGGGACTCTTTATGATGAACTCTTTCTTCCAGAAGCGGCCCCACAGGAAGTGGACCTGGTCGAGTCCCGACGGTTCGACAAAAAATGAGATTGACTTCATTATGACGACCAGACGCCAACTGTTCAGTGATGTCTCAGTGATCGCAAGGGTGAAAACTGGCAGCGATCACCGAATGGTTAGAGGCACACTGAACCTAAACGTTAAGTTGGAGAGGTCTCGTCTAATGAAGTCAACGCTCCGTCCCCCTCGTGCTCTGATCCAAAATCCCGAAAACTTTCAGCTCGAGTTACACAACCGCTTTCAGTGCCTACAAGATTGCAATGCAGTGGACGATATGAATGACAAGCTCGTGGAAACTGTCCATGCGGTCGGAGCTAAGTTCTGCAAGACCCGCCGCAGAAGAACACAAAAACTCTCCGATCACACTCTTAATCTCATGGCTGTTAGACGGGAGATGAGGCTGCAATCGTCAACAGATTTGACAGCATACAGGCAACTGAACAGACAGATCTCCAAATGCATGCGGCGAGACTTACGCAACTTTAATACTGCTCGTATTAAAGAAGCGATCGAGCGGAACCAGGGCTCCAAAGTCTTTGCCAGAGATCTGTCTGCCAGAAAGAGCCAACTGTCAAGGCTGAAGACTGAGTGTGGCAGCATCGTTTCCGGGACACCTGAGATTTTGAGTGAGATTGAGAGGTTCTATGGGCAGCTGTACACATCATCGTTGGAGCCACACGCAAGTGTGAGTAACGATCCAAGAGCAAGTCTTATCCGACACTATTCCGATGATATCCCGGACGTCAGTCTAAGCGAGATTAGAATGGCTCTCCAGCACCTTAAAAACGGCAGGGCCCCAGGCGAGGATGGAATTACAGCGGAGCTTCTGAAAGCGGGTGGAACACCGGTACTTGAAGTCCTTCAGAAGCTCTTCAATTCCGTCCTCCATGGTGGCACTACTCCAGAGGCGTGGAGCAGAAGTGCGGTGGTCTTGTTCTTTAAGAAAGGCGACAACGCTCTCTTGAAGAACTACAGACCGATTTCCCTTCTGAGCCGCGTCTACGTGCTGTT